CCCCAAAACCCCAAAACCCCAAAACCCCAAAACCCCAAAACCCCGTGATATGTCATCTATTGATTAAAATAAATTGATTGAAATAATAATCGATTTTAAGTAAATTAAATCTCTAATAAGATAGATATATTCACATTCAAAATGGAATACACATTAGGTAACACTCACTCTAAAGATTTCTAAGAATTCTTGATTGAAGATAGTTAGAATAGAGGGGCAAACAGATAAAAACAGCCAAAGCTCTCTACAATTACAAAACAGAAAAGGCCCAATGAAACTTAACCAATAGCGAATCCTCGAGATAATCCATTGAAAAATGGGCCTGGGATTGCCATTTCTAGACAAGCATAGCCAAATAGATCCTCTCATCATCTCAACAAAAAAGCTTTCAATGGTTATTTAATGCCGATACCCGAAGAATAGATTGAAACATCTAATGCTGCTATGAGTCTCAATGATTCAAATTTCAACTCAAACTAAAAATCTGACTCAAGCAGTTCCTTTGTAAATATGGGAAATTAATCTAACCCAATTAAAATAAATAGCTCTGGGTACCCCATATTCAGTTCAGGCACTTCTGACAGAAGCTAGAGATTCATAAGTTTAGGAGGAGGAAGTGTAACAGGTACTGCCGGAGCTAGGCAGTTTTACGCTCTTATCAATTAATAAGATATGGAGGAGCTCCAGAATTTTATTAGAAAAATGTTTAGTTTCTTTTCGCTCCAAAAAATTTTCGTAGCAATGTGGATCATTTTTGTCTACAATAATGTCCAGTTTACTTAGAAGATCAAAGAGAATTTCTTTATATTTGCAATTTCTGCCTTTGTGTACATGACTGTGCTCATGATGGTACATACTGCACTTGATTTTGTTAGAAAATCTCCATAGTGCAACATTTGCTACATACTTTTTACTATTTCTGAGTGCTTGGTAGTATCTTTCTTATTGGCAACTACAGATGGTGCCACAGTCTTCTTATTCACTCAATGTCTAACAGGCATAGTTCTGGCAATAACGATCTTTCTCTACACTAATAATGTCAGCTGGCTGAGGGGAATTGCAGCTATAGCTCTGATGCTAATCTCTATGTTTATTCTTTCTATTTCAACTCTAAATTAAGATTACACAGATATGATTACAATTCTCCTTTGTATGGTTGGAGGGCTTATGTTTGGAATTTTCTTGCTTAGCAAAGCCTTCTAGATATTTCAAAATAATTATACTCATGCTCTCACCAAGGATGATTATGTCATTGCAAGTATGACCATTTATGTAGACTTTGGATTCGTGCTATTGGTAATGCTGTTTGTAATGCTTGCAACAATCAAGTCATTTACCTCTTGATTAATGAATATAGAAGTGAATAATTCCCATTTAAAGTTACAAATATTACATCATCATAAAGAACTCTTTAAAATTGCCTAGTGGGGTTTTGGGGTTTTGGGGTTTTGGGG